TATATAACATATACACACAATAGTATCGTTTACGGTGTAATTAATATAATAAAAAATAAAAGTGACAGGTGACAACTGTCTTTATTTTGGCGAAATATTTTATTTAAAGTAACTATTTTGTTATATATTTCTTAATATATATTTATTAATTTATATTTCCTTCTCCTGCACTACCGTTAAGGACGGACATGATTCTTCTCAAAATCAACAAGATAAAAAGATAGGATAAAACAGAACGGACGTGTTTGTTGCGATTGTGTATAATTATTTACTTTAAAAACAGTTATAATGTCTGTAGATTGTTGGGCTTTTGGTGTCCAAGTACCTGATGGTTGTTACATAAAGTGCTCCAAAAAACAGTGCGAGAAAGTTTATGATTTAAAATGCCTAGGACTGACAGAAAATAAATTCAGTTCCTTCTCGGATAAGCGCACGAAGCAATGGGTCTGTCCGGAGTGCGCTTGTTCTAAACCTAAACGCTATGACCCGAATACACCTATCAGGGACACCCCGGATCTGAAAACATTCACGCCCAGTGCTAATGTCAACACTCAACGGGGAAGCCGCATGCAATTGATGGATGAATCAATTGTCGAGTGTGATAATAATAGTAATGATAAATTGCTGTCTGAGTTTAGACAGCTAAAATATGAAGTCTTAAGCCGATTAGACGTGCAAACTTACATTATTAAACATCTTCAAGAAATATGTTTTTCTACAAAAACGGAATTAGAAGAACTAAAGATTAAAATGAAAGTATTTCAAAATAAATTGTTCCCAACGGATCTGTTATCAACTCAAAATCAACAGTTTGAAAGTATTGATAGTATAACGGAAAGTTTGAATACAGGCCTCGAAATGTCTAAGCAAATCGATGTCCCATCTACATTCGCTGATGTGGCTCGTATAAGCCTAAATAATGTAAACAAAACAAACGTTACTCCCTGCGTAATAAAAACGCCTGCGGCCATGAAAATAGCAACCGGGAGAGGGTCCGTTGTCCAAACTCAACCAATTAATCAGCCACAGTGTGTGACTCCAAAGAAAGAGTTAAATATTAATATTAGTGAGGAAGAAGAAAAAATTAATAAAGATTGTGAATGGACTATAGTTCGTAAGAAAAGGGGGAGTTACCAATCAAAAAATGTGAAGAAAGGAAATAATACGGTTTTATTAGATATACAGGCTACCTACTGAAAAAAAGCGGCACCTTCACGTTTGGCGTTTGAGTAAAGAAACCACAAGTGATAAATTAACATCACATGTCAAAGGAGTATGTGGTCCAGATGCTAATGTTAAGATTGAGAAAATTAAGCATAAGACAGAGAGGGATTACGCTTCTTTTATCATAACAGTATCAGAGTCAATGTATGATAAGTTGTGTCAACCGGAAGTCTGGCCCATCAATGCGGAATTTTGCGAGTGGATTTGGTTTCGAAAAGCTACAAATAAACCAATTAAAGAAAAATAATAGTTTTGAATTTTACTATCAAAACGTCAGGGGTCTTCGTACAAAATTAAACTGGTTTTGTAACAATATTGAATCATTGAATGCCGATATAATTGCTATTACGGAAACAGGATGCAACGATTCTATAATGGATGCGTAGATTGTGCCACCAGGTTATGATATAATAAGGTGTGATCGAACAGACGGCCGTAAGCTAGGCGGCGCGTTTCTCGTGGCCACACACGGGTTACAGCTGCAACGAGCGAATACACCGGGTGACGTAAACATAGATAACTGCTCATTTGAACTGGTTTGTGCGACAGTACACGCTAAAGATAAATGTTTATTTTTATGTTGCGTTGTTTACATCCCGCCTAAGACTAAGGAAGATGTTTACATGATTTTTTTTAAGATAATAGAACAATTGTGTGTTAAATATAGACATATTATTTTGATAGGTGATTTTAACTTAAATTCAAGTAATAATAATGTTAAAAATTATTTTGAATATTTTATGTCCTTTTGCGATTTGGCTCAGATGAATAAAGTCCTTAATTGTAATCAGAGTCAACTAGATTTAGTGTTGTGTTCGTTAGGATTAAGTGATGGCGTACAAGTATGCAAAGCTGACGAACCATTAGTGCCTGTGGACACGTATCATCCACCGCTCGCGGTGACTCTGGAGCTCAGCGCTGGCGATGTGACGTTGCTACCCGTGGGGGCCGAGCCCGTTGCTTTAAACCGTGAGACAGCAAACCAAATTAAATCGCAAGGGAATTTTTATAAAGCTGATTTTTACTTATTTTATTCTTATTTAGCTTGCGCCGATTGGAGTTTGAGTAACGAGACACAAGAACCAGAGGAAGCTTTAGAGTTTTTTTTATAATGTTTTTTACGGTGTTTTAGATAAATGTGTACCGAAAAAAGCGGGAAAATAAAGTAGATCAAAGACACTACCCCGAGTGGTATACTAGTGATTTAATCAGGGACATAAAATTAAAGGCTAAACTTCACAAGTTATATAAATCGACCGGATCTCGTGCTCATTACAAAGCTTTTTCTGCTTGCAGAACGCGAATTAAGAAAACTATTGATAGCGCATACCTAAACTATCAAAATCGTGTGCAAAGTAATTTGACAAAAGATCCTAAGTCTTTTTGGGATCATATTAGGGCGAAAAAAAGGACCGTTAAACGTAAACAAATATTGAAAGATGGAGTAACATTGTCAGATCAAGAAAGTGCGACTAAATTTGCCAAATACTTCTATTCAGTGTACAACAGCGAGCCAGCGCGTTTGAACGTAGACGAGGCGGTGTTGGCGGGCGGTGCGGGCAGCGCGCGCGTGCACGTGCCGCAACTGCAGCTCGGTGAGGTGCGCGCGGCGCTCGCCCGACTCAAGCCGAAGCGCTCGGCGGGCCCGGACGGTATACCGGCGTTTGTGATACGAGACTGCCGCTCAGTGCTGGCAGAACCGTTATTACATATTTTCAACTTGTGTCTGAAGAATTCATATTTTCCAGAAAGTTGGAAAATCACGCGTGTTATTCCGATACCTAAGGGAGGTAACAAACCTACAGTTGAATCCTTCAGACCAGTGGCGATTCTCTCAGCACCTGCGAAGGTGTTTGAGGGAGCCATTCAGCGAAGTGTACAGGAACAAGTTGCACCGCAATTATCGGACGCCCAGCACGGCTTCCGGCTAGAGAGGAGCACAACTAGTAACCTCTTAAATGCCATGACGTATTTGGTTCCTCATGTTGATGCAGGGTTGCAGGTAGATGCCGCCTACTTTGATTTTAGGAAGGCGTTCGACTTGGTAGATAACGATATCCTACTGTCAAAGATGGCGAAAGCTGGCTGCACACCTAAACTGCTTCATTTTTTTTGCAAGTTACATGAGAGATAGAAAACAGTATGTGGAGTATGGCGGGTACCGGTCGGAGCCTTATTTTACTAGGTCTGGTGTGAGTCAAGGCAGTAACTTAGGGCCGTTAGAGTTCAACATAATGATTAATGATCTACCCGAAGTAGTAAGAGAGGCTAAATGTCTGTTATTTGCAGACGACCTAAAGTTGCTTTTAGCCATCAAGAGTGAGGATGATTGTCGGCACCTTCAGCAAGATATCGACCAAGTAGTTGAATGGAGCCATAAAAATAAACTGCAGTTTAATATTTCAAAATGCTCTATTCTATCATTTAGTCGTGCAAGGGCACTACTCCATTACAACTATAAGGTGAATGGCGAGCTAATGAAGAGGGAGGAATCAGTCCGGGATCTTGGAGTCCAGATGGATGTCAAATTGACATTCCGGGAGCACATCATGAATATATGTAAGAAAGCTTATAAACGACTAGGGTTTATCATTCGCAGAGCAGTAAAATTTACCAACATTAAAGCAATCTCAGTGCTGTATGATGCTCTAGTAAGGAGTCAGCTGGAGTGTAACTCAGCAATATGGGCTCCACATGAAAATAAATACAATCTTATGCTGGAGCGCATTCAGAATAAATTCACGCGATTTATATATCATAAGCTTTATGGGGTTTATCCATCCTACCCCTTGATGTATCCAACCTTGTTTGTTTTAGGTATGGTTGGATACAACAAGTTGGAAACTAGAAGAGATCTAGCGCTGGTAATCTACATTTTAAGGGTGTTCCGTGGTTACATCAGCAACCCGGGTGTGCTGCAATCCCCCATAGGTTAACAAATTTTAATTTGTTAAGCTATGGGGGGAGGTGTAACATATTACATAGTTTGTAGGGTACGTGGCATTAACTTATACGAGATGTATGTCAATAGGTGTGTAAGACGGTCAGGCAAGGCTTGTGAATAGACGAGGAACAATCGAGTGTTTTATTTTATAGAAACGGTTTGGCAACCGCAGTTTTTTATAGGACGCTGCTGTTCATCTCTCCGTTAATTTCCCTCTGTCACCTCTTACGACTACCGTGGGAAGTTAATATGGGTTAGGTAATATTCGTACATCGCCAATACACGGTCGACAATTGATAAACACCAATATTTTTGTATTTACTATTGAAATATTTTTTCAAAAAAAAAATATTGTCATAAAACTGGTTATTTGTGATGTAATCAATATAATGAAAGTGTAATGATAGTACTTGCATACAAAGATCTTGCCGTGTAGTGGCGGTTAAGAATATCCACTACCCCATATCTTCCCGTGGGTGTCGTAAGAGGCGACAGAGGGAGACAGGCAGGAGATGGGCAGCAGCATCTTCCTGATAACAGCAACTGTACGACAAAAAAAACTGCGGTTGCCAACCCGCTCGCCAAGCGTGGCAACTATGGCAATATACCCCCCCATGAACAATTACACAAATAGACGGCCCCCAGTCCCCGGCGGCCCCGCTATTCCTGGCTACGGTGGCGACCATGGTAACGGCGGGGCAGGGGGTGCTAAGAATCTCCGGTGGAGGTTCGGTTGCCACTTACGACGACTCGACCTGGCAACATTTAACGCACGCACACTGAGGACTGACGAGAAGATCCTGGAGCTGGAAGAAGAGATAGACAAGTTGCGCTGGAGTATTATAGGATTATCCGAGGTCCGAAGAGAGGGGGAGGACACGGTGATTCTCGAATCCGGCAACTTGTTCTATCACCGGGAGGGCGACCATCTGTCCCAAGGAGGTGTCGGATTTATCGTCCACAAGTCTCTCGTCAACAACGTTGTACAGATTGAGAGTGTGTCGACGAGGGTCGCGTACCTGATACTCAGAATCACCAAACGGTATTCGCTGAAGGTCATACAGGTTTACGCACCAACGTCGGCACATTCCGATGAGGAGGTGGAGGAAATGTATGAGGATATTTCCAAAGCCATACATTCCTCCAAAACCCACTACACGGTGTTGATGGGAGACTTCAACGCAAAACTAGGCACAAGAGAAAGCGGTGAGCTGAAGTTAGGGAAATTTGGAGTAGGGCAACGGAACCGAAGGGGCCAGCAGCTGGCCGACTTTATGGAGAAAGAGGGACTCTTTATGATGAACTCTTTCTTCCAGAAGCGGCCCCACAGGAAGTGGACCTGGTCGAGCCCCGACGGTTCGACAAAAAATGAGATTGACTTCATTATGACGACCAGACGCCAACTGTTCAGTGATGTCTCAGTGATCGCAAGGGTGAAAACTGGCAGCGATCACCGAATGGTTAGAGGCACACTGAACCTAAACGTTAAGTTGGAGAGGTCTCGTCTAATGAAGTCAACGCTCCGTCCCCCTCGTGCTCTGATCCAAAATCCCGAAAACTTTCAGCTCGAGTTACACAACCGCTTTCAGTGCCTACAAGATTGCAATGCAGTGGACGATATGAATGACAAGCTCGTGGAAACTGTCCATGCGGTCGGAGCTAAGTTCTGCAAGACCCGCCGCAGAAGAACACAAAAACTCTCCGATCACACTCTTAATCTCATGGCTGTTAGACGGGAGATGAGGCTGCAATCGTCAACAGATTTGACAGCATACAGGCAACTGAACAGACAGATCTCCAAATGCATGCGGCGAGACTTACGCAACTTTAATACTGCTCGTATTAAAGAAGTGATCGAGCGGAACCAGGGCTCCAAAGTCTTTGCCAGAGATCTATCTGCCAGAAAGAGCCAACTGTCAAGGCTGAAGACTGAGTGTGGCAGCATCGTTTCCGGGACACCTGAGATTTTGAGTGAGATTGAGAGGTTCTATGGGCAGCTGTACACATCATCGTTGGAGCCACACGCAAG